CGAAACAAAGAGTGGACAAACCCTGAATTGTTAAACATTTAAATTAATAACTACATATAACAATATATATAATCATATACCCATTTTATTCTTGTTTTTACTGTAAATAGTACATATGTAGTACTCTGTGATTCATGTAGCCAATTGTAAATTACCTAAGTCAGTAGTGAGATTTACAATTGTATATATACGTAAAAAATTCAATAAAGTTTTCATTATTATTATTATTATTACTATTATTATTATTATTATTATTATTATTATTACTATTATTATTATTATTATTATTATCAGCATTGAGCAGAGCAGCATTGTTTATACGCGCTCTGTACATGTTGTTCGTTTTATCGCTATTTTCTTACTTGAACCACAGTTTATTAATAAAAAATATTATAACTATTGGATTTACTGGGATATAAATCATGATTCGTTCAAGCCTTGTCGCTATGTTGGCAATTTGCGCAGTTTGCTCGTTCTGTGGCAAAGACTTCGTTACGCTGGGCCGTCATTCATGGCGTTGTAAAGAAAAAAATAAATCAAGATCGTCCTGCTAACACAGTCAATCAAAATATGCCGGTTATGCATTCTCCTGTCAGAATCTAAAACACCAACGACGTTAAGTGCTATTGTGGTAAATCATGTAAAGGTACGCGGGGGCTTAAAATGCACCAACGTAGTTGTCGTGTAATACATGGTTTAAATGATGAATTGCTTACAGACCTTGAACAGCAATCTACTGAGAACTCGACTACGAATACTTCTACTCATTCTACATTTGACGAAATTGATGTAATGGAAAATATTGCGAGCTGATAACTTCGGTTATGTTGAGAAGATGCCGGATAAAGAGCTAGTGAATAAGTATAAAGATCAAACAGTAAAAGCCTTAAAGAAATGTCTAAAATAACTAAAGCTATCGAACGCTGATCCTCACGAAATCAAATATGTAGCTCGCACATTGCGTGATAAGTTGCGTAATGCTTGTCAAATCAATACAACTCAAAACCAAAACAAAACGTTCAATCACGACAATTACATTAGTAGAAATTTCTGGGGTTACGTTAAGAACGTCCTGAATAAGAACACTGGCCTACTTCCATGCTTTCCGATGTCAGAATGCGTAAACTATTTCAAGAAAACTCTATGTTCAATAAACCCAAACAAACTGTTTTGTATTCCAAGCTGGATTCCGAAGTTATCCGATCCTATCGTAAACTTTGACCTTCAACCCCCAACATATCGCCAAGTTACAAATGTTATTCGCAGAATGAAAGCTTCTGGATCGCCTTGTCCTTTAGATCAACTTTCAATAATTTGCTTCAAACGTTGTTCATTTTTGCGCACTTATCTAACCGAAGTGATACGTAGCGTCTGGTCTTCGAAATCTGTACCAGCTGAATGGAAAAAAGCGTGTTCTATTCTTATCCACAAAAAAGGCAATACAAGTGACACCTCCAATTTCCACCCAATTACTCTAGAAACTATACCACTAAAAGTGTTTACCTCTTGTCTCCGCAATGCTATGTTCTCGTTCCTAACCGCTAATAACTTTATTGAACATCAGATTCAAAAAGGTTTCACTCCCAATCTGTCTGGCACTCTGGAACACACTGCTCAAATGACAAATATTATCAACCAAGCGAGAATAAAGCAGCGCTCTGTTGTCATCACCCTTCTCGATCCCAAGAATGCTTTTGGTGAAGTGCATCATAATCTAATTCAATCTGTCCTCGACTATCATCACATTCCCAAAGACGTTAGTGAAATAATAAAGAGCTTGTATACGGACTTCAATGCTGCATTTATAACATCAGTATTCTCTACCCCATTTATAACTGTCGGTCGTGGAGTCCTTCAAGGAGACTGTCTTAGTCCTCTAATTTTTAATATGTGCATCAATACCTTCATTCAACATATAAAAACTGACAAATACCGGCAATTTGGTTTCATTACAAATCTTTTAAACCCAGTCCATTGGTTCCAGTTCGCTGATGATGCTGCGGTAATAAGCGGTCAAGATTCAGAAAATCAAAATCTTTTAAATCGATTCTCGATCTGGTGCCAGTGGTCTAACATGATTGTCAGGGTTGATAAGTGTTCAACATTTGGGATCAGGAAAAGTCTGACAAAATCTATCCAATATTTACCTAAACTTCCGATTAACAATGAATTGATACCTGCCACTAAAACCGGAGAGTCGTTTCGATACTTGGGGAAATATTTTGACTTCAGTATGTCCGAAAAAGAACACAAACAAGAGCTAATCACTCTCATGGACGACATTATGTCTGAAATTGATCTTAAACCTTTGCACCCGAAAAATAAACTTTTGCTTTATAGTCGTTACCTCCTATCCAAACTTTCCTGGCATTTCACTGTAACCACCATATCAAGAACCTGGGTCTCTGAAAATATGGATTCTGTGGTGAACAAGTGCGTACGTAATTGGCTTGAAATACCTATATCAGGAACTCTATCTAACGTCTACCTTACCAGCAACAAGTTTGGTCTAAATATCTATCCGCCGTCAATTAAGTTTGCTCAGTGCCAAAGAGTTGCTCGTAACGCCTTAAAGACCTCTCCAAATCATTCCGTAAAAGACATCTGGAAAACAACATCTGAAAGCAAAAACATTCAGTACGACGTTTACACCTCGACAAAGGAAGTCCTTAAAACTTTTAACTCCGGACAAGAAGACAAATTGCAGAATCATCTGATTTTGCAAGGCTCCTTCTTCTCAAATGTCATTAAGTTTTCACTGTCGAAATTAAACGGCATATGGTCTAAATCCCAATCAAACCTCCCAAAGAACATCTATAACTTCACCATTCGTTACATCAATAACTCACTTCCAACTCGTAAAAACCTTACTAAATGGGGAATATTGTCCAACTCTGATTGCTCCTTCTGCTTAAACCCTGAAACCATTTTACACGTAGTTGCTGGATGTCAAACGTATCTCCCACGATTTACATGGAGACATGATTCTGTTCTGAACTTCATAGCACAAACGCTACAACCTGTAAACTACTCCAATGTTTTCGTCGATCTTCCTGGTTATAAAAGCCCATCAATTGTAACTGGTGACACATTCCGCCCAGACCTACTTCTATCTATCAACTCGGATTGTCTCTATATCCTTGAACTTTCTGTTGGTTATGAGTCTAATCTACAAACAAATGTCGATCGGAAAAGAAGAAGATACGAAGATCTCATTACACAGTAAAAGAAACAATTTAAGTCCGTAAAATTTGTAAATTTGTCAATTAGTTCTTTAGGCGTCTTCTCAAAAGAATGTCATTCCTTTTTAGATATGTTAAATGATCTAGGTCTTGATAAAAGACACCAACATTTTGCTATCAGGAAAATTATGTCTATCGCGATTAGGATAACATATTATATATTTTGTTGCAGAGATAAGGACTGGTCAAATCCGGAATTACTGAACATTTAAGGCTACTCATTATTAATATATAAATATTAAGTAGGTTCAAGTAGCCAATTATAAATTACCTAAATTAGTGAGATTTATAATTAAATATATACGTATATAATTTCAATAAAGTTTCCATTATTATTATTATTATTATTATTATTATTATTATTATTATTATTATTATTATTATTATTATTATTATTATTATTATTATTATTATTATTATTATTATTATTATTATTATTATTATTATTATAATAATAATAATAAGGATTTACATGGAGACATGATTCTGTTCTGAACTTCATAGCACAAACGCTACAACCTGTAAACAACTCCAATCTTTTCGTCGATCTTCCTGGTTATAAAAGCCCATCAATTGTAACTGGTGACACATTCCGCCCAGACCTACTTCTATCTATCAACTCGGATTGTCTCTATATCCTTGAACTTTCTGTTGGCTATGAGTCTAATCTACAAACAAATGTTGATCGGAAAAGAAGAAGATACGAAGATCTCATTACACAGCAAAAGAAACAATTTAAGTCCGTAAAATTTGTAAATTTGTCAATTAGTTCTTTAGGCGTTTTCTCAAAAGAATGTCATTCCTTTTTAGATATGTTAACTGATCTAGGTCTTGATAAAAGACACCAGTATTTCGCTATCAGGAAAATTATGTCTATCGCGATTAGGACAACATATTATATATTTTGTTGCAGAGATAAGGAATGGTTAAATCCGGAATTACTGAACATTTAAGGATACTCATTATTAATATATAAATATTAAGCAGGTTCAAGTAGTCAATTATAAATTACCTAAATTAGTGAGATTTATAATTGTATATATACGTATATAATTTCAATAAAGTTTCCATTATTATTATTATTATTATTATTATTATTATTATTATGTGGTTGAACTCACCACTGGTTATGAGACAAACCTCAAAAACAACGTAAAACGGAAGAAGGATAAATATAGAGAATTATTGAGACAGCTAGGTAAAAATTTTAACCAAGTTAAATTTATAAACCTCTCCATCAGCTCTTTAGGTATTTTTGCAGAAGAATGTTATACATTTTTAGACATGTTAGATAGTATTGGTCTTGACAAAAACCACCAAATGTACTGCGTTAGGAAAATGATGACTATTGCTATTAGAACTACATATTACATTTTTTGTTGCCGAAATAAGGAATGGGAAAATCCGGATTTACTAACAATTTGACTTATCTCATTGTATATATATATATATATATTGCATGCACTTTGTTCTGTTATTTTAGTTTAGTATAATTGTGATTCAAATAGCCAACCGTAAGTTACCTTTATGAGAGAGATTTACGATTGTATATGTATGTAAAGAAAAACATTTAATAAAGTTTCCATTATTATTATTATTATTATTATTATTATTATTATTATTATTATAGTGATCAGCGTCGGGGGAGGTCAGTGATCAGCGTCGGGGGAGGTCATGCTTTCGGCGCTCCTGCTATATTTTTAAAAGCTTTCTTGTTTAACTGCACTTTCGATAGTTTTGAGCTTTTACAAATTCAGTATGAAGATGAAAGGCTTCTACGTGGCAAATATTATGTTGTTCTGGTTGATTATGGGGCAACTCTGGACTATTAAAGCGACAATCTGTGAATATTGTGGCAAAGATTTTAAATCTTTGGGGAGACACATTTGGCGATGCAAATCTCGCGTTGGTCATCCGTCTCATGCTGGAAATGAAAGGCAAAGTAATAACGAACGTTCGTCGAATACAGAAAGGACTGACCACCAAGTCAATATCAATGCTGACGGTGAGCTGGTGGGTGAGTGTGCTAAGTTTAGATGCTATTGTGGCCGTATGTTTTTAAGCTATCGCTCGTTGACTTTGCATCGTCGATCATGCTATATAGGGAATAGTAGCGGCAACCTTTCGGACTTATTTGTTGAAGTGAACAACCCTAATTTGAACGTAGCGGGGGAAGTTTTGTCCGAAATGCCTAGTGCTATTTTTTCAAGTCAAAAACCATCGCTGTTAGTGGGAGTTAAACTCCCACGGTCGAAATCTGAATGGGACAGGGCAAACGAATATTTTCGTATGCAGATAGACACTTCTAGGGAACTAAGAAATTTGAATATGGAAATCGATCATTTGAATGGAACTATGTGGGCGTATTTTAGTGCCAATTATGGCCAAGTTAAAGCTAGGAACTATTTCAATCACTATAATAATATGTCAAAATCAAAGTTAAAGAAATGCCTCAGAATCCTTAAACTTCAAAACGGCAAACTGGAAGAAATAAAATATGTCAGTAGACTGTTGCGGAAGAAATTGCGCTCACATTTTCAGCGTAATTATGAAGAAGAATTAAGTAAAGATCTTTGGAAATTTTGTAAAAAAGAGTTTGAAGAATCAGAGACACAAGAACCAAATTTTGACGAATCGTCCTGCTATGATTATTTTAGAAATATTTTCTTCGAAAAGCATAAAAACCGAACATTCAACCTTCCCTCTTGGCTTAAACCATTTCCAGTGCCATCGAGCAATTTCGACCTGGAATGTCCAACTTACCAAGAAATAACGAAAATAATTCGGAAAATGAAAAGTAGTGGTTCTCCTTGCCCTATTGACCAAATAAGTATTATTCCTTTTAAACGGTGCCCCATCCTGAGAACACAGCTTTGGAGACTCCTCTCGAAATGCTGGACCGAAAAATATATACCGACTATCTGGAAACGTGCTGTTGCGGTACTCATTTACAAAAAGGATTCACCTGACAATCCTGCTAATTTTCGCCCAATTGTTTTAGAGCCAGTCATGTTGAAAGTTTTCACCTCTGCGATAAGGAACAAAATTTTCAAATTCGTGCGCGATAATAAATATATCGAAACAAACATTCAAAAGGGTTTCTGGCCAGGCTTGTCTGGTACAGTTGAACATACCGAACTGTTAAACTATTTATTAAACCACGCCCGCAACAAGCGGCGGTCTATCATTGTCACTCTAATCGATCTCAAAAACGCATTTGGAGAAGTGCACCATAACCTGATAAAATCTATTTTAAAAAGTCACCACATTCCTGACGAAATCACTGGTATGATAGAAAACCTTTACAATGATTATGGTATCTCAATCTTGACGAAGAATGTTATAACCATACCGATATCTGTAGAACGGGGCGTACTGCAGGGAGACTGTTTGTCCCCCTTGCTTTTCAATTTATGCGTGAATTCACTCATTAACACGATAAATGATGAAAGGATACAGTGCCTTGGTTATGTTAATGATATATCCTTAAACCCTCGTCATTGGTTCCAATTCGCGGACGATGCTGCAATTATATCTGCACATAACGAAGACAATCAACTACTGTGCAATGCATTTAGTAAATGGTCCTCTTGGGCAGACTTATATATCCGAGTAAATAAGTGCCACACTTTTGGGATCAAAAAGTTTGGGACAAAAGCAGTCCAGTATAAACCCACTATAAAAATCTCTGGTCAACAGGTTCCCCCAATCGAGGACGGTGAAAGTTTTATGTATTTAGGTAAACAATTCAATTTTGAAATGGATTGTACTGAAACCAAAATTGAGATCCTTGATGAAATCCAACACTACTTAAAGAAAATTGATCTTATCCCAATAAATCCATTTTCGAAAATACGCGTGGTTCAAAGTTATGTCTACTCAAAGTTCTTCTGGCGTTTTTCAATCTACTCGCTTACTATAAGCTGGATACATTCTAATCTGGACTCTATAATTTCCAA